AACCTTCTATTCTTACGAGAAGAAGTTGAAAAGCAATGACTTCTCTTTCCTTTATTATTGACTCTGTTCAACTCTATCAACTTTGTAGTAGCTGAATAAACTTTCGAGAAAGGTTATAGGTAATGATGTAAATCTCATGAAATGAAAATCTAGCCAGTAATACAGATTTAAACAAGATTTGAGCTGCACTGCTTAAAAGTAATGAGTTACCATTAAAATGTAATATTAATTTGTTATAATCTTAACAGTACGAACAAATGGATCAGTGCTATGAAATTGCCAATATATCTGAAATTTTCGGATCATTGAAATTGTAATTATGGCTTTTTGTTGTCAGTAAGTATTTTTTGAGCGGATATTCTTTCACATCTGTGAAAAGCCAAAAAAGTGGAAAAACTTTACATTATAATATAGAAAAGTTTTATGCCTAAATTTGACAATTACAATAGATCAGTGATAATCAAATGATTCGTACATGATAGAAATATACGGAAATATAAAATTATTAAATAATTACAATTTAATTTTCTCAACTCTGTTTTTCTCATCTTTTAAGAGTAGTAAAAAATATTTAATGGTACGGCACAGAATAATTATTCAGCACCAATCAAAAAACGAAAAAAAAATAAATGAATAGAATATAAAATTTTATCAGTTAAAAAAATGCTTGTTTAAAATTTTATTCAAAAATCAATTATAAAAAAATTTTTTTCTGCAATTCATTGTTTACTAAATTATTTATACATTGAACAATAAAAAGGTAAAAACGTTAATGGATTTATACGTTGCAATTAACGTTGAATTGCGAAAGAGAACTGTAAATTCAAAGAATTAAGTCAATAGTTATTGCATATTTTATAAAAAGATGTCATCGATAAGTAGTAAAAATTTCTCGTTTACGCATTAAGAATGAGAAAAAAATTGATAAAGAATTATTTTTTTCTAACTCTTTTGAATGCTTAAATGTCATCCCTTAAATTATTAGCTAAATAACAAAAGAATTCAATTTCTGATTTTTCCAATGTTCAAACACCACAATATACCTATTATGCTTAAATTATTTTAAAATAATATTCAAAATTAAAAAAGAAAGCATAGAAGATGAATTATTTGCATAAGGAATAGTAGGAGAGAGAAGGAATATAAAAGTTTACAAAATAATACAGCAATTGAGCCATTTAAATACAGTGTTATCGAAAGCAACGAATACTTCCAGCAATAAATCAACTTATTTTCACAACTTTCACTGATTTTTCGTCAAAAAAGACAATTAAAAAAAGCTATCCTATATTTTTTAAATTTTATTTACCCATATTGCTCATTAATAGTTAGATTTAAAGGTATAATATGGATAAAATAAAAAATATATCAGATTTGAAGTGAAAAAACTCATTTCACTCTATTTAGAGTACTATTGCAATGGGAACAAACATTTTATTTTGTATGTTATAAAATTGCCAAAATTAGCAGTAA